GATGGAGTCTCGCTCTGTTGTCTAGGCTGGAGTGCAGTGGCACAATCTCGGCTCACTGCAACCTCTGCCTTCCGAGTTCAAGTGATTCTCCTGTCTCAGCTTCCTGAGTAGCTGGGACTACATGTGCCCGCCAATATGCCCATCTAATTTTTGTGTTTTAAATAGAGATGGGGTTTCACTATGTTGGCCAGTCTGGTCTCGAACCCCTCGTGATCTGCCCACCTCGTCCTCCTAAAGTGCTGAGATTACAGGTGTGAGCCCCCACGCCCAGTCCAAAATTCTACTTCTTTCATGAAAAGCGTTATCCATTTTATCATTGATTTTACTAAGCTAATTACATAAGTCTACATCTGGAAATTTTACACATATCCATACTCTTTTGTGCAAAGGGATAAGTTTTAACAAAATTTGTGGGTTACAATCAGAGTTGGAATGAATTCTGAGGGAAAATTCAAACTGGGTTTCAGGAAGGCCTGAAAACTAGCATTCAAAAGTTTGTTTTTCCCTTATCTTACTACATATTATCTTCAGAAACAAATGACCTCTCTTTGAGATAAAACTCTTGCCATAATTTCGATGAATTCTCATAATGCACATTACTCATATAACATGCTTTAGTTTTCATGTAATTTTTTAATGAAAATAAATTTATCGTATTCTATTCATTACGTATTCCTAGTATAATATATTAAAAATCAAACCCTGAATAAGTTAAGAGCCTCAGTCATGGAGAACGTAAAAGTACCCAAGTCTCTGATCTTCTAGCCTCAAGCTCTTTCTAATCCATCATTCAGTGTTTCCAACAAAACTTTTTCTCCAGACACCCAAAAAGTGTAGCTCTGTTATTAGGTCCATATAAATGCTTGATCAAACAACTGTTTTACTTTTTACTCTAGATTAAGTGGGTAATTTGACAGCCTGAGAAGGATATTGGTGTCTATCTGTCTGGAATTTACTCATCTATTGAGAGTTCTAACAGAATTATCCATGATTAGTTTTCTCCATTAGTTAGAACTGTATCACAACGACCAGCATCGTAAGTTTGGTCCCTGTAAAGCTTTTTGGCTTTCTTTCTTATATAATAAAGTTCATCCTGACAGCAAATATGTGCAAGAAGATCTCTTGAGGCTGTTTGATGGCAGAAAGGAAAGGTCGATAACCTTCAAATACAAGCAAGTCTGAAGTAAAAATAATTCTAAAAGCTTTGTTGGACGGTGAGTTCCAACTTATCGCTGACACCACGGCAGAGGGATAGAAGAGCCATTATGAACTGCTTTCTAAAGATGTAAAACACAATAGATTTAAATAGTCAACAATGTTGAACTTCAACAAGAAAGATACTGAAATAACAGAAACCTTATTCTGCCATTGTACTGAAACACAAGATAACTGGTTCTATGAGGCTGAATACAGTTCTTATTGTTGAAAAACTGCAAGATTCCCAGGCAAAATCATACTTCTTAAGAAGAAAAAGCAATTGGTTTGAAAGGTTAGGCTTTAAAGTTAGAGAACTTTCCTACCTAGATCAACATGGACATTTATAAATATATAAAACAAATAAGTGAAAAGTGTTTTGCTAGGATAAACAAATGAGAGGTATAAAGTGATCATTTCTCATACATCAAGATATTATGAATGTGAGGAAGATCTTTTGAAAATGGAAGAAAAGTAAATTTAGTACAAATAAAGAAGTATTACTTTATACAACAAGTAACTCACAGAGCTGACATGGTTTGAAAATCTAAGTCAGTTCGAGAAGACTTGAGAAAAAACCGTAAACAGAGTTCTAATCTACCATTGGGACAATTAACATGATGAGGGACACACTTATAAGCCACATCATTTCCGTAAGTCATTCAATCTTGATGTTATAAATCTAGAACCTTGCAAACAAAGAACTATGAAATGTTCTGCTGAGGGACGCATGGCCACTTACTTTATCAGACAGTAGGACAGGGCAAGAGAATACAGAGGATTCATTAATATAGTCATCAGACCAGACCATGCTTTTTTATATATATCACATTTTTAGTAAAAGATTACAGTGTTCCTTCTCTGATATCTTTAGCTTTGTTTTCCCCCTCAACACCATACTTCCCACGAAAGGATCAATTTTCTCTGCTTTAACAATGGTAGCTTAGCAGACAGGATGCTACGATTCAGGGGGACTTTAGATGTCATTCACTCTAAATCTTGCATTTTGTAGATGAAGACACTGAAAATCCTGAGAGCTTGTGACCACCTATAATTTAATAGTCTCCTAATGGTAGAACCTGAGCATGGATTTAAGTCCAGTGCCTTTTGCAGAACAGCCCAACACAGCACACACTCCTTCTAATCATGGATCTAGCAAGGCACTGCAAACTCAGTATCGGATATGAGGCATTCACAATTCACCAGACTTGGTGAACAATATAACGGTTTGACAGATCTCTTTGATATATAAACATCTTTTCCTCATGCCCCATTATTTAAACAAGATGATCATTTGCATGCCTGTTTTTTTTTTTTTTTTTCCCCCTAGGAAATCTCTTTTCATCCTAAAATTCTCAGAAATATTAACTCCCTACAGTCAGGAAATCTTGAGAAAATGTTGCCTATAGCAGATATTTTTCTAAGCTGGAATTATAATACTCACAATTAAATCTATACCTCATATAATCATTTAGCTGTGGTTGGATGTAGTTTCTTCCAGCCAGCTTTCATGAAATATTCTGTTAGAATCTTGGTGTGTAGCGGGCAGCCAATGACTGTTTTCACTGGACAAGTAATTAGAACTTTGGACCTCCTATTTTTAAAATACTATTTACCATTTTATGACATTATGTCACAACTCTGTTTATTACCCATTTATTCCAGTAAAATTTAAGCTTCATTAGCAGAAGCGCTCTTTGTTGCTTTACTTTTGTCACTATCATCCTTCACTGCACATTCTGCCTGGAAAGTACTTGACACAGTTTCATTGATGGTATCAAGGAAAGATTAGGGATACTCTACGTGCTTACATTTTATTGTATCTATAGTATTTTTTCCAAATGAAGTGTTCCGCATTTTATTTGGGACACTAGAATTTTTAGACATTCAATGTAAGTTATCCATAATGGAAAATGTAATGTCCTAAACTCTTCATTAAGAATTGTTCCCAAGACATTTTCTAAGAAAACTCGTTTAAAAAATTCTTAATGGGATATATTTAATTTAAATGAATCAGGAAGGGTTATTTTATCTTTAATACCAACTGCAATGTCATAATTATTTTATTCCAAAGGACATTCAGGACACTTATAGATTATGTGAGCCTTTTAAATTTTTCTTTTCTTTCTTTTTTTGAGACAGAGTCTCACTTTGTCACCCAGGTCGGAGTGCAGTGGTGCAATCTCGGTTCACTGCAACCTCTGACTCTCAGGCTCAAGCCATTCTCCTGCCTCAGCATCCCAGGTAGCTGGGATTACAGGCTCTGGCCACCATGCCCAGCTAATTTTCATATTTTTAGTAGAGATGGGTACTACTCGAACTTCTGATCTCAAGCGATCCACACACTTTGGCCTCCCAAAGTGCTGGGATTACAGGCATGAGCCACTGTGTCCTGCCCGGCCTGACCCTTTTTTCTAATTTAAACAAGATCACACTTTATGCACTTTAGATTAATGAGAAGCTACTCTATTTTAAAGTTCACCTGAGGATATTGTTTAGTTATCCTATGTAAAACATCAAATCTTGTCCCTGTTAACTTTTCTTATTGACAATAGTTAAAGTGTGGTTTTTACAATTTTTAAAACTGAAAAACATATCTATCTCAAATAGGCTGTCTTTTTTTTTCTTTTTCTGTCTCAATGTCATTTTAGTCTCTTCAGCAGTGTTGAGAGTAACCCAAACTGAATTCTGAGATTTTGAATCATGAAATTTGTCACATATTTTCTAATAGCCAAATGATGAGGTGACTATGATAGCAGAGAGGTTTAAAATGATGAGCTAAATTGAGAAAATGTGATTTCTCAGCAAACCATAGTATAGAGAAAAGCATAATTAAAACGTGCATTTTAACCATGGCTATAATAACAAGGAGAAAGGAAAACAAGGTTTTCACTAGCTACTTTTTTTTTCTTTTCTTTTTTTTCTTTTTTCTTTTTTGAGATGGAGTCTTGCTCTGTCGCCCAGGCTGGAGTGCAGTGGCCGGATCTCAGCTCACTGCAAACTCCGCCTCCCGGGTTCACGCCATTCTCCTGCCTCAGCCTCCCGAGTAGCCGGGACTACAGGCGCCCGCCACCACGCCGGGCTAATTTCTTTTTGTATTTTTAGCAGAGACGGAGTATCACCCTGTTAGCCAGGATGGCTACGATCTTCTGACCTAGTGATCCGCCAGCCTCGGCCTCCCACAGTGCTGGGATTACAGGCGTGAGCCACCGCGCCCGGCCGGAAAACAAGGTTTTCACTAGCTACTTTAAGGGGTTCTACTTTACAGTGGTTTGCTTCAGACCCAACACAACTTTCTATGACAAGAACAAAAAGAGAGTGGCCAATGTCCTGTTGTTTAATTTCCTATTATTTTAAATTAATATAGATTTCAAAGATAAATTTGAATGGATTTTTAAAAAAAGTTTCAGTTACTTTATGTATAGAATCACTAATTCTTCAGAGTAATCTGTATGTACTTTTAGAAGACTTATCTATGAGGGATATTAGAATGATTATTTACATATAGTCAATGAGATATGTTGAGAAGTTTTAATAAACAAAGACAGTCAGTCATGGAATATGAAGTCATTAAAATCTGTAATTCGAAAACTTAAGGTTACATTTCTTAAACTGCTTTTGTAAGCAGATCCACTGCAGCTTGTAAAATAGTTGTTTGGCTTTGGGGGTTAGGTTCTTGGAGCTACAATAGTCAGAACCTGTTCTAAACATTCCTAGGTTCCCAAACGTTAATGAATATTTTCTGAGCAACAAAATTCCATGGCAGTAACATGTTTTTATTATATTTTCTAGAGTAACACATTTACCCAGGACCCATGGTAATATCATCCACTCGACGATGGTTGGTGGTGGACCTTGCCTGTTCAAGTCTGACCTGTCGATGTGCTGAGAGGCAAGCAGCAGCAGGAACAAAAAAGTCAAATAGGAGGCTGTGTGGCAGATAAACTTGATAAATGGCTTCCTGATGAACAGTCCGAGTGGGCTTTTGGGAGCTATCAGGTAGCACACAGAGAAGACAGGAAAAAGAAGTCCTATGATGAAACATGTCACCATCTTCACTGCCCAGTGTCTTCTCCTCCAGCCTGGAAACTCATCGTACCAGCGAGATGCCAGCAGCTGTTGACAATTGGGCTGGGCAACAAACTAAACAGAAGGGAAAGGAAAAGGAAAAATAAGTCATAGTTTCATGGAGTGGCCTCAGTTCATCAATAAGAACACAACTGGGATATTTAAAGACAGAAATTCTGTTTCACGTAATTTTACATTTAAACAATCAAAAGGCCTGAAGTCATTCTGTGAATAAAGCCAATGTATTGAATATTTATTCTACCCAAGGCACAGTATGACATGTTTAGTGAGACACAACTGAAGTCAAAATACTATGGCTGCACTTGAGGAAGCAAAAATAGAACTGGGGAATAGGAATATGCAAAAGATACACTGATAAGTGAACACAGCAGTTTACAAAGATACACACCTATATACACATATATAAGAATATATAAATGTGGCTCTTTTTTGATATAGTTATTATTTCTTGGTTACAACACTATACTTAATTTTTATTTATATTTGTGTGTACTTTTAACAATTTTCTGTAATAGATATTTATTACTTTAATCATCAGGAAAAGCAAACAAACTTTTCTTTATGAGGTACAAGCTAAATATACTTTTAATTGGGTTGAGGCAATATGAAAAACAGATGAAAGAAGATAATATTCACCAGAATGTTAATCATCATAGCTTAATTCGGTATAAACAATGCAAACACCTTCCTAAGTATACCTAATTATCTTATACAAAACATTTCACAGACATGACTCATTCTATCCTGACAACATTTTAGAGATGTAGCATGGACACTACTTACTGTATGTTAAGGAGGTTACATATCTATCAAACTATGAGATGTTTGAATATCTGGTCCAGGATTTTTTTCCTCAATATTTCTTTTTTTCCTCAGTATTTCTCAGATTCTATTTCTGAAACTTTCTCATTGGGATTGTCAGTTAAGCAATATATGAATTAAGAGAAAATTGTATCCTTCAGATGGAACAGTCCAAGAATGCTTCCACCTGGACATATTTGTATAAGTAGAAAAAGAAGATGAAGGCAATCCATGGCAAGATACCATGGGAGAACAAGAGCATAACCTGGTGAGAAAGTGTACAGTGGGAATAAGCGATGCCCTATGGACAGTTCTGATTGAAGGAGAGGTGTAAGTTCCTTGTAAGAGACTTGGAAAAGTTCTGTTGGCATAATAAAACGGCTTACTCTAAAAGCAAACTTAGTGCTTGTTCCTTTTACAGGTCTCTCCACCCAACTCCACATTTCCCATCTTTCTTCTTTAGTTCTAAGCCATATGGCTGTCCTTTAGGCAAGACTTTTTCCATTCTCTTTTCTGATGGTAAGCAAGCAAGCAGTCTCGATATGCAGAAAGGATGCTTTGTTTGGGGATGAAGAAAGAGATGAGGTGACATTCAAAAAGTAATCCAATAGTTGAGGTGTTCAACCATTTGGATTAGATGAATAATAGTTTTTCATGCAACTGTTTCTCTTCATCTTGTCTTGCATATCTACTTATCAACGTATATAGTGGGCAAATAAATATGCAAACAACTGAATTAGGTTTATAATAATGGATTCAGTAAATACAGATAAAACCAGATAAAGTAGTATAGTTTTAAGGCTGGGATAGGGAGGACTCTCCTCATTATCTTGTATAGCACTTACTTAAGGAAATTTCAAGCTCCATAAACAGTCAATCTAAATTTTATTCCAGACAAAGCCAGGTATTTGAAAGTCGAAATAGGAGTTTTTGCTTATATAACTGTAGAGTACTGACAAACAGTGGTTTAGATCATTAACCAGCACCGTTCTCTTTAAGAATTTTATTTTTTCCCCACATAATCCTTTCCATCAGCATTTGATAAAGAAATCATAGTCTACCATCTTCTTTCTTTTTTTATTCCCCATGGAATAAAGTATTTTTAGTAGTATTAAACTTTAGGACAACTGAAATGTCTTGATAAAAGAGAGTTAAGAAAGCCTATGGGAAATGCAAGATATAACAAGAAGTTGCCATCATCTTATAAGTATTCACACATTGACAAAACACTATAAGGGACTAAGTACTAAGTAACTCATTCCGTGCATGCAGAAAGAGTAAAAGAAAGGTGTGTACTTTGTTCACTACAGTCTAAGTGAGGTCTTGGATTCAAACTCTGCCCTTTCTGGTCAAAATCTCACTACAGCATGGGGCATCTGAGGACAATCAAACAGAGAACTTTCTTAGGATAATTTAAGATTTGTTTGAATTAATATTTCTGCTGTGAATACATACATATATACCCCGTAAAATTACCTAAAAGAAGCAAATAGTTTAATCCTCATAGAACACCTGCCATTGCAAAGTGCTAGGATAGCCATGATTTTTTATTTATGTTTCACTCTTAAAAGTGCTTTTTCTTTCTTTAGTTATTGTAAGTATATACTGTGCTTAGTAAATGAACAGTATATGTAATTTTGCATTAAACACAGACACAGGGAGGTTGTTGCAGAAGTAAAAAATATGGAGAGGAATAAGAAGAGCAGGAGTGAGTGTACGTAATACACAAGGTTCCCCAAATGTGGATGTTATTTGGCTATGTATTTGATCTAATCATAGGATTGAAATAAACCAAAAAGTATTCTGAGAATCGTTGTAAATCCACATATTCTCATGGTAATTTCACGTCACCTTTCAACCAAACATGTTCTTTACTTGTCTATACCAGCATTCTCTAAATTGTATCCCAGTAATTAATAGATTTTCCATGCAAAAATGGGTTTGGTGGTTAAATCAGTTATCAAATTAAGGATTGAAATAATTAAAATTTTATATTACAGGATTTTTCAGTCTTCACTTGCTAACATAGATTAAATCACTTCAATTATCTCTTGCCCCTCTTTCCCTCCCTCCCTCCCTCCCTCCCTGTCTTCCTTCTTCCCTTCTTTCATTCCTTCCTTCCTCCCACCCTCCCTTCCTTCCTCTCCCTGTGTCTTTTTCTCTGTGTCTGCCTCCCTCTCTGTTTACCTGGATTACTTAGAGTAATGCTTAGCTTTACTTCAACTCCCTCTGAAGGACACCCCCAAGAGAGGGGCCACCTGATTCTTTGACAGTGGCCACCAGTCCATTCCAGCAATGCCCTCTCGAGGTGGACCATCACATTGCATGCAGTGTGCTGGGAGCCTACAGCCCCCACCTCCTACGCCATCTTTCTACTGCACCATGAGTCATAAGAGGAACTACCATCTTCCGCACCATTCCAGTATTGGGAGAAGCGAAGTTTGTTTTTAGACACAATTCATTACAGCCCTTCTTTCTCTAGAGTTGTTGGCCAATTCCAGCACAACTCCTGCCATCCCATTAAAATTCATATTAAAACACTAAAACTTTCAAATTCACATTTGTGCTATGCACTGATAAAGTACGCTGTGAAAACAATTTTAAAGACTTCCCATCTCGTTCAATAACCTTTAAAAAGTTTGCAAAGTCTGATCTCATAATTATTTATAGAATCAATGAGTCATGGGATTCCAAATATTGAAGACACTGTGAAAACCATTGAATCTAATCTCATTTTTGCAAATAGAATAAGAGATCCAGTATCAATGATTTAAAATTAACTACTAGAAATATGAAAGCTCCAAACCATAACAGCAACAAAGGATAACAAAAAGGAGGATAAATCTGGAAAGTATATAAAAGCAAAACAAAACCAAATAAACAAGAAACTTCACTACATTGTATTAGTCAATTTTCATACCGCTGATAAAGACATACCTGAAACAGGGCAATTTACAGAAGAGGTTTAATGGACGCACAGTCCCATGTGGCTGGGGAGGCCTCACAATCGTGGTGGTAGGTAAGAGGCATGTCTCACATGATGGCAGACAAGAGAGCTTGTGCAGGGAAACTCCCCTTTTTTAAAACCATCAGATCTCATGAGACTTATTCACTATCATGAGAACAGCATGGGAAGGACCTGACCCCATGATTCAATTACCTCCCACTGGGTCCCTCCCACAACATGTGGGAATTATGGGAGCTACAATTCAAGATGAGATTTGGGTGGGGACACAGCCAAACCATATCAAGTATCTAGAAAAGTGAACTAAAATATTGTGTACGGACAAAGTAAGCAGAAAATAATTTAAAATATATAAAACAAATAAATCAAATAATAAAAGTAACTATGGATCAGATTTCCTTAGTATTTGTTCTTTCTTCATCTTTTCAGTTTTTCAATGTATTTTTCTAGTTTAAAAAGTTGTACACAAAGTTCAGACTGTAGTCATTCTCTATAAGAAGAAAATCCAAATTCTGGAAACAACCATCCTGGTTACTTTATCTATCTTGACTGCATCAGAGAGTCACAAGGAAGTCTCAACTGACTGCCAGGTGATTATAAAGAGAGTTGAAACTTCGGATTAGCTGTATCATAGTGATTTACATAAGGGCAATCTGATTCCTTTGCTCTAAAAGGACCACAAATCCATATACACACCAGTGTGCTCTGGGTATTACTGTATATTCTTTAGCAATTCAGAAATAATCTGCATGGGGGAGGAGTTATTTCCTCTGCAGAATGCTTTTCAAAAACTCATAATGCTGATAGCAGGGTCTAAGGATTATTTACAGGCAGAAGACCTTCAGGGAATTAATTTTTTCCATAGCTGAAAAATATGTATTTTTAATCTTTTACTTCATCCCCTACATCCCTCATGGCCTCCAGTGACTTTTAAATGTCTCTGTCTCTCCCTGCTTCCTGGTGAGACCTCTGGTCATGTTCTTCATTAAACAATTCTTCTGGTCCCTCTGAGCATAGTCATACCACATGATTAATCGGACCCACCTGTTTCATTAATCAAAACATTATTTTCTTCTGCCTTTGCAGGACAGGTGAAACACTAGTAAAGCCAATAGCATTCAGCATCATATGTGAGTCAGAGAGTGGCTAGATAAGTGAGGGGAGCACCATGATATGTAAGAACCACATAAATCTGTATTCTGGGAACTCAAAATACATTGGGACTAATTATGTAACTGGATAACTTCATACAGAGCATTACATAACTTGTTTAAAAAGAGGTATAGGG